TGTCTGAGAAAGCTGAAAGGAGTATATAAACACAAGGCAGTATTTCAGTAGAACACAACTTCATTCTGTTCAGCATTCAGCAGCTCATCTGAGCCATGAATCAGACCCACATATTAAATGAGCAAAGGCATGAGCTGTCAAGGTGCATCCAACAGCCAGTGAACAGAGCTTTTGCTAACAGCAGGCACACTCTGTTCTTTTAAAGGAAATCTGCTGCTTATGCCAATATCATGTTACTGAAGCCCCATATTAGCCCAGGGAATAGGACACTTACCCCCAAGCAATCTACTCTCAGTCTCAAAAGTAGGAAATGGAGCACCACAAGGAGGCTGAACTTCTAAGGCCACACACTAATCAATATTTCCCCCACAAAGGTGCCAGTAGTGATTAGATTTCCAGGCCTACAAAATTCCTCAAAGGAATTAAGCTATTTTGCTAGCCTTCTCGATTTTATAATGGCTTGGTCACTTTTATTTGGGTGCAAGGCATGGTGCCCAACTCCTTGAAGAGCCATCTATATTGCACTCTATATGAGTACATACTATGGAGCTGGGTAATGCATAGGGCCTCAATGGGGTTAAGACAAAACTCCTTAGCAAGGTGTGTATGATGGTGCATGCCCATAATCCCAGCTCTTAGGAGACTAAGGCATGAGGAACATGAGCTTGAGACAATTCTGAACTACACAGCAAAACCCTGCCTCAACAAAACTACCTCCACAACAAATAGGAACATAAAGTCCTAAAGAACACTGACTTTGGCAAAATAACCTATCTTCAGGAAAGCTAGTGGGAGGCTGTTGGTAGTTTGTAACACTGTGATGGTACAAGACTCTGTTAACAAGTTACTGTCTTTACGGGATGACCAATGCTAATAGACTTTCTGGAAACATTTTTCTTTTTGGATAGGTTCTCATGTAGCCCAGGCTGGACTCAAACTTGCTATACTCCCTATGTAGCTAAGGACAACCTTGAACTTCCTAATCAGCCTACTTCGATCTCTCAAGTGCTGAGATTATATACATATGTGTGCTACCATGTTTAGTTTATATGGCACTGGGGACTGAATCCAGTACTATATATATGCATACTAGGCAAGCACTCTACCAACTAAGCTATGTCCTTAGCCAGGGAATATTTTTAATCATTCTCAGAAAAACTTTTTATTTTTTTTGGTTTTTTGAGACAGGGTTTCTCTGTGTAGTTTTGGTGCATGTCCTGGATCTCACTCTATAGACTAGGCTGGCCTCGAACTCACAGAGATCCGCCTGGCTCTGCCTCTCTAGTGCTGGGATTAAAGGCGTGCGCCATCACTGCCCGGCCAGAAAAACTTTTAAAAGCAAAACAGACTAGTGTCCACTGGTCCCTCTTGTAACCCAAAGTCAGGGCACAGGTGCAGAATGTGACCCTGGAAGATGACTTTCTTTGGCTCTGAGCCCACACTCCTAACATCCAGTCCTCTCTAAGCTAATGAAGGAACATTTGAACTTGCTAAGCAGCCAATGACTTGAAGAACTAGCCATGATGCTCTGGGAATATCTAGCTGTCGTAGACTTTATCAGTAGTCCCAAATCAGATCCTATTTCCACTGCCCTTCAGAACAGATGTGCATTTCTTTTATCTGCCACACAGTAATCCACTGGACCCCCTACTCTGGAAATTTTTTTAAGTTTTATGCGTATATTCAGAGATTCCCTTTGAGTTTAAGAATTCCATACTCGCCGGGCGGTGGTGGCGCACGCCTTTAATCCCAGCACTCGGGAGGCAGAGGCAGGCAGATCTCTGTGAGTTCGAGGCCAGCCTGGACTACCAAGTGAGTTCCAGGAAAGGCACAAAGCTACACAGAGAAACCCTGTCTCGAAAAAAACCAAAAAAAAAAAACAAAAAAAAAAAAAAAAGAATTCCATACTCAAGTACACTAACACCAACCATTGTTGTTATGAGCCTGGAGACACTCATATAAAGATGCTTCAAGATAGCACCAGGAAGGAAGCCCAGTGGCTTAAATGACAGAGCTATGCAACAGGCTTAAGAGACTGAATTCCAGCAGGGCCATCTCATACTACTAGAACTTGCTATGTTAACTGAACACAAGACAACTCGTTACTCTGAAAAACTACAGGCCTTACTGTTGCTAATATTTATGAGACCATCCAAGAAGGGAGAAAGCTCTATGCTTATTAAAATGAAGAAATATGGGGCTGGAGAGATGGCTCAGTGGTTAAGAACACTGACTGCTCTCCCAGAGGACCCTGGTTGACCCACATGGCAGCTCACAACTGTCTGTAACTCCAGTTCCAGGGCACCCAACGCCCATGGCAAAACACCAATGCACATAAAATTAAAATAAGTAAGTTTAAAAAAAAAGATAAAAATGAAGAAATATAGTTAAGTCAAGACTAGGAGGTCAGGCCTGTGATCCCAGCTATGTGGGTAGCTGATGCAGAAGCCTGAGTTCAAGGCCAGCCTAGGCCTCTTAATGATACCTCAAAATTTTTTCACTGTGTGTTGAAAGGCTTGCTTAGCATGTACAAGGTCCTGGGTTCAATCCCCAGTACAAACAAGACAAAACAAAACCCTTACTTCCATTTACTGGGGTGAGGGAGGCATCTCATCCTGGCAGCACTCTCTGTATGTGATGGAGACACAGAACCTTGACTATCCAGAAACAAACAGGATCTCCTTTGCCAAGCTTTATCATATGCATATAATGCAGATTTTTTTAAAAGATAATTTTACTTTGTGTGTAGGTATTTTGCCTACATGCATGCATGTCTGTGCACAACCTGTGTGTGGTGCCAGAAGAAGACATTAGATCCCCTGGAACTGGAGCTACCAATTTGTTAGCCACCATGTGGGTGCTAGGAATACAATTCAGGTCCTCTCCAAGAGTAGAGCTCTACAATGCAGATTTCTAATGTTCAGTCTTACCCAATGAAATCTACTAATAAACGCCCAAATTACCAGCAAATCTTTTGTTTCCTGGGTTCTTTTGTGTGTGTGTGTGTGTGTGTGTGTGTGTGTTAAAGACAGGGTCTCATTATGTAGCTCTGGCAGTCCCGGAACTCGTTCTGTAGACCAGGCTGGACTCAAACTTACAGAGATCCACCTGCCTCTGCCTCTGAATGCTGGGATTAAAGGTGCACACTACTTATACCAAGCTCTCTCTCTCTTTTTTAATCCCCTTCAAATCTTTAAAGGTTGTATGGACCTCCAGCTGTTGCCACTCAGCAGCAACACCCCCATCTCCAATGGGCTTCACTACCGATCCAGGCATCAGATCAGTGTGCTTCAGAAATAAGAACAATGCTGATGAAGTTTTCCTTCTCCAGCGCTCCACATTAAGGCAGCATTTAACAGAAGGCATCCACCTCGAGCAAGTTAAGAGATGGAGTCTTAGGGCCGGGCGGTGGTGGCGCACGCCTTTAATCCCAGCACTTGGGAGGCAGAGCCAGGCGGATCTCTGTGAGTTCGAGGCCAGCCTGGTCTCCAAAGCGAGTTCCAGGAAAGGCGCAAAGCTACACAGAGAAACCCTGTCTCGAAAAAAACCAAAAAAAAAAAAAAAAAAAAATTCATTTTTCCACTCTGTAGGTAGAGACAGGCAGATCTCTAAGTTCAAGGACAACCTGGTCTACAGAGCGAGTTCCAGGACAGCCAAGGGGATACACAGAGAAACCATCTCAAAAAACAAAACAGAAAGAGAGAGAGAGAGAAAGAAATTAATTCATTTTATATTCAACTAAAGGGCTACAGACAAAGGACCTGAGCTTTCTAAACCAGCGACTATAATTGTTAGTGGTCACAGAAAGCCAACACGATGACTTTGACACTCTAGCATAGAGGAAAATCCAGTAGATAGTACCAACTAGTGCGAAACAGGGTTCAGGACTCTGTCTGGCAGAAGAAAATACTAGTGAGCACAGTGGTGGAAGAGGAGCTGGGTGGCATGTTCATCCGTTACAAGTGTGTAACTGAGTAACTCTGTAGTGGAATATGGATGGATACTCACTATTGTACTGGCTGGCCTAGGCAGTAACAAACAATTCATCAGAGAAAACTTAGGGTGAGCCCAACATTTGGGAAGTGTCAGGCTCCAAGATAATGTCTACAGAACCATCAGCATTAAATGCAAACTACAGGGGAGACAGGTAGGGTTCCCTCGCAGGACTCCTGGAAAGTGATGCAAAGGCCCCATTTTCACGTGCACAGGTGAGGACGAATCCTGTGGCATTCTGCTGGGAATCAGTCATTAGTTACGGCCCAGCTTTCAAAGAACCAGCGAGCTTACAGAGTCAGGGAAGATAATAAACATCACTGAACAGAGGGAAGTGTGAGCGTCAGGGTATCTTGTCACTAAGTTTCAGGCAAGAGACAAGGACAATTCTGTTCTAGGCACTATGCCAGGAGCCAAAGAGGTCCCATATTCATTCTCCAGGGAAGCTCAAGCCCTCTAAAAAGCCAGTTTCACTGACAAAACGCACGATATTGCCAGATGGTAAAGTTTCACGGTCGGAGCGAGCCCATCCCACACTCTTCCCAGCAGAGCAGGACTAATCGCCAGAAGGAACTTTTGGGGACCACCCACCTAACACCTCCCCTTCTCCTTTCTGCAAAAAAAAAAAAAAAAAAAAAAAAACAAACCCAAAAAACAAAACCAAAAACATTCTTAAATATAAAATGTCTTCGAATTTCTTCCAATCCGCTTGAAATGCAGCAAGTGGAAGATGAGGTTTCCCACGGCTGCAGAAGCCACGTCTAGGGAGTGAGATGGATGCCCGGGGTCTACACCCGAGTGCCCACCAGGAGCTGTAGGGATTTGAACCCCGACTGGCAGGCCTATGGGTGCAGCCGGGCGCGCAGGCGCCAGAAGCGCTCGGCTAAGGCTTGCTCCGGGCCCGGGGCGCCTGAGGGAACCGCCCGGGCCTCCCGTGTCCCAGTTGCCCACCCGAGGCGTCGGCGAGGCGGCCTCCCGCCCCCGGCCCGGGCCTCCCGCGCCCGTACCTGCCGGACCCGGTGCAGGGCGTCCACGAAGCCCTCAGCCTTCATGCCCACCGGAGCGTTCTGCCCCTGCACCAGCTCCGCCATGGCCGACCCCGCCGCCGCCGCCGCCGCCGTCGCTCCGCTTCCCCGGTCCGGCCTCCCGCTCCGCTCCGGGACCCGTAGCCGGAAAGGGAAAGTCGCCCCACTTCCGGCGGAAGGGAAGCCGAGGGAAGGCACTGCCCGCTCAGTGAGACATAGGTTGGGGAAAAGCCGCGTCTGTGAGGCGGGGTCTCAAGGCACGTGACCGCTGTCCGGCCGGAAGTGGGGGCGTGGCCGCTGCGCGAGGGGGCCTGCCCAGCGCACGAGGCTGCTGTCCGTCAAGAAGGCCCGGTCGCGACCCCGCCCTCTGAAGGGGTCTTGGGCCCCGGACCTTTATCGTCTGGGTGACGGCCGCTGAGCCGCAGGTGTGGCTGCCAAGTGTCCGCTGTCAGATTTTGGTACCTGACGGAAGAGAGACGTGGCTCTTCCAACACCTCACCGTCGAGATGCAGCCCACCCACCACCCCCGTAATAGCCGCGGTGTGCAGCATTGACTGTGATTGAGCACCTTTACATGGTACTAGGAGGCTCAGTACTCCAGAATGTCCCAGGACTGGCCATCAATCAGTTTGCCAAGGATGGGTTTGATGACACCGCTCAAGAAGGCCACCTTGGCTGTAAAGCCAGCCTGGTGTCCTCTTTCACATTCTTTCACTGGGGGAACAGGAAATACCATAGGACCATCATTGCCTCCGAGCCTGCTGAGGCACGAGGCATGTGGAATGTTTGAATGCTTGAGGGGGAAAAGCTAACAGTGATGTTTCAGAGAAAGGATTGAAGGCAGCACGACTTTGGAATATGCTGCTTCTGCCTTCAATCCTGTTAGAACAGAAAGTCACACCTCACTTTGCCAACACATTTGGGAGGTGGATTAGCACAAGAGGATCAGAAGTTCAAGATCATCTTGAGGTCTTTCTTCCTCCCTTCCTCCCTCCCTCCCTCTATCCCTCCCTCCCTTCCTTCCTTCCTTTCTTCCTTCTTTGTGTGCATGTATGAATGTGTTGCCACATGCATGTGGCGGTCAGAGGGCATTTGATCGAGTTGGTTCTCTCCTTTCATGGTGGGTCCCAGGATTCAAACTCAAGCCATTAGTCTTGACAGCAAGCCCTTATACCTGCTGAGGCACCTCACCACCCTAGAGGCTCTTGTTTCGACCTGTATTCATAGAGTTTGGCACATAGTAGGTGCTTAGGAAACTAATTTTAAATTGAATAATGTTGAAGCCGAATAATTCTTAGATTATGGCAAAATAAAAGAATAGCCAAATTACAAAATTGAAATTGATCACTTTTAGACAGATCATTTCAAAACCTGTCGGGAAGCATGCTTGGGTAGTATGGGCGTTACTGAGCACTAGCCATCTGGAAGCAGGAGGCAGCACTCTGGATGGCTGAGTGTTTTCACTGTATATGATGGAAAAAATCAACCATAGAGTTTCAGCTACAGATAGGCATGGTTCTACTTGACATGCTCAGTGATGCTCCTGTTTTTACTGTTTCTACCTTTGAGGAAAGAATGCTCACTCATCCCTATTGCTGCTGACTCTCCCTGTAAGTAGAAATGGGATAGAGAGATGAACTGCCAGAAGGTTTGCATCGCAAAGCCACAGGACGCTTAGCTGGGATGACCAGGTTCTGGCCCACCCTCTTTTTCTGGTTGAGTAACTCTAGGCTGGTCAGTTATCTCTGGGGGGACCAGACGAGGAAGATGACTCTAACCTGGTCAGGCCACTGTGGAATGTTCTACTGTCCTGGGCTTCATTATCTAATACTTACTACAAATCCCCTGAAGCGTAAACCTAATTAGTCTTATTAAATAAAAACCTGGAGCAGATGTTAGCAGGTTGAAAGCTGAAAGATCAGAGAAGCAGAGCAGCTAGCCACTAGAGAGGTTTTTTGTTTTTTTGTTTTTTGGGTTTTTTTTTGTTCTGGCTGTTTTGGAACTTGCTTTGTAGACCAGGCTGGCCTCGAACTCACAGAGAACTGCTTGCCTCTGCCTCCCAAGTGCTGGGATTAAAGGCTCATGCCACCACCGCCTGGCATCTGTGGTTAACTAATGGCTAGCTCCACCCTCTAATCTCCAGGCAACCTTTATTTGTCAGAACACAAACAAAGCATTATACAACAGTCCCCTGTTGCATTTGCTTGGCTCTTAGTTCAACGAATACAGGAAAAGAGTTTTGGCCAAAGAGCACAGAGAAAAAGAGTCTTAGACATTAAATGCAGAAGCCCAGTGGATGCCGTGCTGGAATCCCAGCACTTGAGAGGCAGAGGCAGGAAGTTAAGGAGTTCAGGTCACTGTTGGCTAGACAATGAGGTCCAGCCTGTGATAGACCCTGTCTCAAAATTACAAACAAAACCCATACACACTGTGGTTGTAGGTGGCTTTGTCTCTAAGACTGTCACTTAAACTCTTCCTTTGGCTGGAGAGTCGGCTCAGCCAGGAAGGTAAATGCTTGCTGCACAAATATGAGGCCCAAAGCTAGTCTTCAGAAACTACATGGTTCTGGGCATAGAGCTGGAGAGATGACTCATCCATTAAGAGCTCTTGCTGCTCTTGCAGAGAACCCAAGTTTGGCTCCCAGCACCTACATTGGATGGCTCATAACGTCCTGAAAGTCCAGCTCCAAAGGATATGACACTCTTCTGTCCTACTTGAGCACCACACAGATGTGACACACACACACATACATATAAATAAAATCATAAAAAGAAAATAATACTGGGCCTGGCAGTGCATGCCTGTAATCCCGGTGCTGGGTGGAGGGATGGTTAGAATGTGCTGGTTTGAATGAGAATGCCCCCCCATAGGCTCGTATCTTTGAATGTTTGGTTCTCAGTTGATGGACCATTTAGGAAGGATTAGGGGTGTGGTCTTATTGGAAGAAGTGTGTCACTGGGGATGTGCTTTGAGGTTTCAAAAGCCCATGACAGGCCATGTCTCCCTCTGCCTTCTGCCTACAGATTGGGATGTAGAACTCTCAGCTACTGCTCCAGCACCATGCCTGCCTGCATGCTGCCATGCTCTCCACCATGATGATAATGGACTAACTGTCTGAAACTATAAGCAAGCCCCCAATTAAATATTTTCTTTTATAAGAATTGCCGTGGTCACAAAGTCTCTTCACAGCAATAGAACAGTGACCAAGACATGGAGACAGGAGGATCTCTCTAGTCAAATTGGGGAGTGCTAGTTTCGGTGCAACAGCCTATCTCAAAAAGATTAGGTGGACAGCAATTGAAGACATCAACATTTGACTTTCACATGTGTGAACACACATGCTCATGCACTCACACAAACAACATACACATACATAGATACATAAATGAGCTATTTTTCTCTGTCTTACTGATGACATTGAAATGCTTCATCCTTCTAGATGTGATGGCACACAACTCTAATCCCAGCAATCTGAAGGCAGAGGCAGGCAGATAGCCATAAGTTCCAGGACAGCCTGCTCTACACAGTGAGTTCTAGGCTAGCCAAGGCTACATAGTGAGATCCTGTATCAAGAAAAGAGGGTGGTTAATTGATCCTTTCAGAATTTCATACCATTTCCACTTAATTCTCAGTGATATTGTTTCGGAGACAGCAATTTGATATGAATGTAGCTATTCCCATCTTGTGGTTATTACTGTTCGCTTCAGCTCAGGGACTAGCAAGATGGCTCAGTGGGTAAGGAATCTTGCTGCCAAGCTTGATGACTTGCTTCCCCTTTTCTTTTTTTTTTTTTTCAAAAAGGAAGGTTTTAACCTTAACAAAGTAAAATTGCATATAATTTGGGAATTTGGGCATAGTTTCTCTTACTACTTCCTGCTGGAGGGGGGTGCTGTATCGTATGGGGACACAAAGAAAATTTTAGGATTATGGAATAGTCCATGAGGTTGTATTGTCTGAGCCAGTTGCCTTCAAACTGTTCTGGATATTGGATCATCCAGGCCATGGTGTCATCGGAGACCTTTCAGGGGGTCTTGGCTGGTCAAACCTGATGTATCTTAATCTGGAACAAATCCATAGCCTCTGGCTTTCTGTGGGAACAAAAGCAGAGTCTCCTTTCCAAAGCAATACATCCTTACATCCAAATTTTGAAGTCAAGGTACCTTTAAAATATACATTTTGGCATAACTCAACAGCTTTTACAAGCAAATGTTTTTCTAGAGTTAAAAGTCCCAAAGACAAGCCGGGCAGTGGTGGCGCATGCCTTTAATCCCAGCACTTGGGAGGCAGAGCCAGGCGGATCTCTGTGAGTTCGAGGCCAGCCTGGGCTACCAAGTGAGTTCCAGGAAAGGCACAAAGCTACACAGGGAAACCCTGTCTCGAAAAAACCAAAAAAAAAAAAAAAAAAAGTCCCAAAGACAACACAATCCAGATTCTCTGTGTAATATTCATCTTTACGTGGCTTATTTTTATATTAATTTTACTGTCTCTTTAAAGACTTTATTTTTTAAAACTATGTATTTGTTTATATAACTGTATATATCACCTTTTTTGTCTCTTTCAAGCCTATGTATATTTTACACAATTGTAAACTATTACATCTGAATCTGTCTTATTGTGAATCTATTGCTTTAAACTGCAGCAGCTGTGGCTGCTGGCTCCACCCACCTCAGCTTCCCAACATGATGGTGGTATGTCTCCCGCCAGCTCTGGGAGCTCTCATGGGTCTATGCTTTCATCCAAGCAGCGTGTAGCCCAGAAACCTCTTTTTTTGTTTTGTACTTGCAAAGGCTAAATCCACCATGCAGCTTAATGTGCCACTTGCAGAGGCCTCATTCCCGCCATTCTGCAGGTCGAGCGCGCACACTAGGAACCCACAAGTAGCTCAAACCAGCAGCTGCCGCTCATTTGAGAGAGACAATTAGGAAGCTGTTTTTAGCTCCGTTTTAGAATCTTTTTTTCTTAGTTTTTAGGTGGAAACTCTTGCTACCACATTGGACGCCATTTGTAGATGGAGTTTTCCTGCCTGGCCCACAGTCAGGACAAATCTCTCTCACCTGCCAGTCCCACAGCCACTCAAACCCGATCAAGTAAACACAGAGACTTATATTGGTTACAAACTGTATGGCCGTGGCAGACTTCTTGCTAACTGTTCT